CTCGCTCTCTTTCTCTCTCTCTCCCTCTCCCCCCCCCCCCTCTCTCTCTCTCTCTCTCTCTCTCTCTCTCTCTCTCTCTTTCAATATCTCTTTGTCTATCGTTCATGTGTGGCCACTGTGTTGTTACAGATCAACATTTTTGTAAACACCTGCAAGCTGTATTCGAGAAAATTCCTTGTTAAATATACCAATAAAAAAATCCAAGTTGGTGGTTTCTACAGATTTTTAAATGTTTGCAGCTAGGGCAATATTGCTTTTAATAGCAAGTCTGTCAGGTTTTTCTAATCGGGACATTATATAAATGCTTATTGAACGCGTGTTTTGAGAGCCACTAGTGCAAAAATAAATGCGTTCACTATAACAATAATTTCTTGTAACACGTTTTGCAAATAAAATATAAATTGTCATTGATGAGCTGTGATGTAGGCCATATGCGTACTAATCAAAATGTGTGAGAAGCGGGAAGTGCTGTAAACAATACAGTTTTACGTGTGACAGAGATTTCAAGTATTTTATATAAATTTATGAAGAAAAGTTTTTAAATCTAGATCTAGATATAGATCTAGATATAGATTCTAGCTCCAATTTAATTGTTCTGGAAAAATATGATTTAGTTAAGACAGATGGATGACATTGATTCACCCGTTAAAAATTAAAAAGATATTTGAGGATAAGTTGCACCACGAAATTTTGAACGCACTATAGTGGGCTCTACTCATCACGCTCTATGATTATAAAGAAAGTCTACTGTTCGTTGCGAGGGACGCGTTGGTTCTTCACCTTACCGGATTGGCCGCTCAGCGTCCCGAAGTGGGCACACCACAGAATTCTACACTTAGTGTAGAATTCTGTGGGGCACACTGAACCCCGATTCCTTTTTACATGAATCGTAGGCATATATGTGGTGTCGGGGTCTTGATTGATTTTCATACTAGAAATATATAATATACACATTCAAACATGAAAAAAACAATAACAAACAAACAACCCTGTATTAAATCGGCCCTATGTTACTCTACGTAGGCTTCCTCGGGGGCAACTGAAAGTATGGCAGCAATCGTTTCAGGGAAAAAAATATATACTTTAGTCTGTACATGCGTTTAAAAAGTTTTCATGACAACCAGCGGCCATGCCGGGAAGTTTGGTTGTCATGTTGTAAACAAAGACAGCTGAAAGCCTTCTTCGCAGTGTTTATTTAATCGGATGATCAACGTATTTCGATACAAATAAATCAGAAATAGATCTAGATCTTTAGAATCTCCTTCCGAGACCGAGAATCTAGTCTACAAGCAATTGTCAAGGTTCATGTATGTATGTATGTAGTATATATATGGTTTCACGGCGAGAAGGTGGGGAAATAATCTACATTGGTTTAAAAAAAAAAAAATGAATACTTGCAGTGGCAGTTGATGTTTGTTGATAATATTTCTCAGTCTGTTTGTAAGTGAGCCCGTCATGCGTCGTATGTTGTGTCTTTTTGTAATCAGGTTGTACAACGTGGCTTTAATATTATAGATATATGTGTATGGCTGTTTCCTCAAGTTGAAGTAGGAACCACTTCTTCAGATATACTCAAACTTGATTCATTTGTAAATCATATTAATTATTGATTTGTTGCAGAAGCTTTTTCCTCAATGAAAGTGAAAGGCAATTTAAATATTGATTAGGCCCATGTAATAAAATATATAGGCTTACACCATGGGTGCTTGATTAGATCGTTTTAGTTTATTATAGTATCTTGGGCTTGCTAATGATGGACCCATCTCGCTCTTAGATTCTCAAGCACTTTATTTTCACCTACTTTATAGTTCATTTTACTCGTTTTTAACAATATGGGGGATTTCAGAGAGTAATAATTAGACCCAAGAACCCTCACAACTGTAAGCGATAATAAGGCCCAAACAGTGGCAAAGATTTGCACTCAAGTTCAAGACCCAACTCTCCCTATTGCAAGTTGGAAGAAAAGAAATGAAAAAGGTGAAACATCACCATTTTATACTTAAATTTCATTCTCAAGACCCAAGTGACTTTGATTATTTTAAAAACTAATTAAATTCAGTTTAAGCCACAAACTTCCAGAACTTTGATGTTGAAATACTGAAGTATGTGTACTAATAATTGTAACCGAATTACAGGGCTAGTAGGGAATCAGAAATAATAATAAATAATAATAAGAGCATTTGTATCCCGCCTTTCCCCACAGCATGGGCCCAAGGCGTACATAGGAGATTAAAAACGCATTCATACTAACACCATAAAATTCATCGTGTGCGCACTTTTTGACAGCAACATTCTCTCAGACAATAAAAAATGCTCATACAAAAAAGGCAAAGGTACTGTCGATTAATTAAAATATTTCTTAAATAGATGTGTTTTGAGTCCCCTTTTGAAAGTATCAAGTTTTATTTCGCACCTCAAATCATGAAGGAGAGTGTTCCAAACTGTTGGCCCAGAAAAAGAAAAAGCTCTCTCACCATATTTCTTCAGTGACACACGAGGTGTTGAAATTAATCTAGAGCCACTGGATCTTAGTTCACGTGATGGTGTGTATGGTACAATGAGTTCTTGAATGTATATGGGAGACTGGTTAGTTTGACCTTCAAAGCATAGTAGGGCTAACTTATATTCAATTCTCGCTTTCAGTGGAAGCCAATGGAGCTCTTTAAGTAGGGGAGTCACATGATGGCGTTTTGATTGCTTTAATACTAGCCTGGCAGCATTGTTTTGAATGCGTTGGAGTTTTGCAATATTTTCTTCGGGTAGGCCAGCGAACAGTGAATTGCAATAATCAATGCGTGACAAAATGAAGGCAAACACTAGTTTTTTTGTGGCATCAGTGCTAACAAATTTTCTTATGTGAGCAATTTTTCTCATTTCTAAGTATGAAATTTTACACAGATGGTTAAGTTGGGTCTCCATGGACAAGTCTTTGTCTAAGTTTACTCCTAAATGTTTTGCTTTGTTTGAAAAAGCGACAGTACCTTTGCCAATGGTGAGACATTGTACATCAAGAGCATTGATTTTTGAGCTGGTCGAGCATGGCATGATTTCTGTTTTGTCATCATTTAATTTCAATTTATTTTCAGTCATCCATGCTTTTACAGATTCAAAACATTCTGAGGTGTCTTTTAACAGAGATTTAATTTTGTTTGGTTTTGCAGACTTATAATAAAGTTGTGTGTCATCTGCGTACATATGGTAGGGCATGAAATGGTGTCTGATGGTACGACCAAGGGGTAAGGTGTACATAGTGTACATGAACATGTATTCCGAACAGTGAGCTCCAACTTCACTTGGCACTACACTACCACTATATATTGGTTCTTAATAGTTCTCTGTAACTTTTGATGTAACTGCAGCTTCTTACATTTCTCCATTTTCCCCCAGATTTTCTCACAGTTGATTTGCCAACTCTGTCTGATCTATAGCCATGGATTATGTGACAGGATGGATGCATGATGCGTTCAATAAGGTAAGGATTTATTTGCTTTGTAGGATGAAAATGTCATCATATTAATCTAGATTTTTGTATCCCGAGGTGTTTACATTTATCTTCATTCTTGAAAAAGAGAATGCAGTGCTTTAGTCATACTACTTGTGCTCCATGACTAAATGACTAACACCCAAAGTAGTTTTTTTTCACTTTTCATCCTTTGACTCGCCGATGAAGGAAAGATAAAACAGTGTGTTCTTTTCTTAACACAGGCTGCATGAGAGGTTTTGTTTGTGTACCTATTTTGATAATTCTTTCATTCACCCGAGAACTCCTAATAAAATAATAAATAATAATATTTTACATTAATATTATAGCGCATTTCCTCCTAAAAGTAGCTCTATGCGCTTAAAAGGGACCTGTTTTCAGTATTGTCGAAAATTGATATTTGTGGCTTAAACTTGTCATGGTTAAAAAATGTGATCAGGTTGCTGCCAGCGTTTCACTGGTGCAACGGTTCTGACTGGAGATGAGGAGTTAGCTTTCATGTCTGTAAATTGTAAAGTAAACCCTGATTACAGCAACAGTCTCGCCCTCCATCAGAGGATGCTATCTCAGCTAAAGTAAAACAAGAAAGTGTTTAGATACCAGTGTACAGTGTATAGAGAAGCTCGGAGAGGTGTGATTCTAATATACAGAGCACATTGTAGAAAGTTTCATCAAATCTCTATTTGATATATAATTTTAGGGCAGCCAGGTTTTCCTTTTTTATGCAGGGACTAAAAGGCACAATTTGAATATATATACCTTCATGGGGGGGGGGAAAGAGCTACTATTTTGACACAACACACAAATGATTCGACTTGTGATTTTGAAAAATTCATTTGTATGATTAC